CCTAAAAATATATTTAGGTTTCGTTAACTAAATAAGAGTGCAAGCAAATTGAAAAAAATACCAACAAAAGAAAATATTTTTAAACATTTGAGTTTTTTGCTGATAACAACGTTGCTTGATTTAAGGCGATGGCTAATTACACATCTTTTTCTCTCTACTTTCAAATATTGTTGATAAAAAAAATCTGAACCTGTGAACCTTTTACCTGCGGGCTTTCAGGCCAAGCTTTACCATACTCGTCTATAGTAAGAAGTGTAAAAATAGCCTAATTAAAAACCTTAACATTCTAGCAAGATGATATCCATAACTAATGGACTGAAAAACATTTTAATGATTTAATTGAAGTCTACTAACAAGTAAAAATTTATTTTGTCTTCATCACTTTTTCTTAGCAATCTGTATAAAAGTGAATCACTACACGAAGTTATTGGATATTGTTGTACTTCATGAATGATTGATTAATTATGATGATCAAGTATGAGTGCCAAATGGGCGCAAAGACTGATGCTGAGATATGTCAACTGCACACATCGATATGCTAAAATAACATACTAAAAGCTAATCAGCAATCGCAATTCGTTTCATTTAATTAATTACCACAGTCAATATGCTATTGTCGACTTCTGGTCCATTCTCGGTTGAGAATTCGGTTAAAATTGATCGCTCATCCATGCGCATGATATAGTATGCATTAGGCAAACCGAATGGGAAAAAGGTCAACATCTTACGAGCGCGCATTTCTCTGATTGTATCGTTGCCATGAATAATGATCCCTGTTTCAGTATTCCGGCACCCATAAATTTCAGATTTTATTAGTGGTATTTGAATAGATACGGATGACATTTTCCCTGCTGCCTATTTCCACGCACAAAAAGCTATACTGTATAAAGTTCACCGATATCAGAAAATATTAAAACAAATTATTGACACCTTTTGCACATATTCGCACAGAAGATAATCGATCAACATAGGTTTGACATGGATATAGATTTTATAGTTGTAGATACAATTTATTGTACTGTGATATATAGTATAAGATGTTGGTTGATCATCTGCTTTCAAAACTTTGTCCACTAATGCAGGTTATTACAATGATGATAGTACAAAAAAAAAAACAAAAAAAAGTGGATTTTTACTTGTTAGTAAATAAAATACGTCATTAGAATCTCTTTTCTTAATTTTTGGGGTTGAGTTTGAGCAAACAACTTCCTTGTTAGGTTATTTGGATGTTTTTACAACTCCTGCCTGACATTGTGAGTATAATTCAATTCCGTTAAAATGGAAGTAATATAATTTTTATAATTTCATTAATTTTCTTTAATTTTTTTGATTCCTATATTAAGTGTTATGGTTTTGTGTTCACTGTTCACTGTACATAAGCTACCTAAAAATATTTTATTCCCTGCAACATTCGTGGATTCTTAATTGGACTTAAACTGCACTTACCATTACTAAATCATCACAACAGTTATCTTTTATAGTAAACCAATTATAAAATAAGTATTCAAGTAAAATATTTTTAGCTTCACGTAGGGAAAGTTATAGTAATCGCAAAAAAATCAAAAATGAAATTTTTTGTATATCTTTACGTTTTAGTGGTTTTGAACATTTTGGCATACCTTAGAAAAAATTGATGTATATATGTGTGTTTGTATGCGTGTGTGTATGCATATGTGTGTGCGTGTGTGTGTGTGCGGATACAAATTTTCGTCAACAATTTTGCGAACACTTTCGTCGTCAACAATTTTGGATCAGCCGGTTTGAATATGTCAAATACATTCGATTCCTACTGATGAGGAGACGTGCTGATTAGTTTCTGGCAAAGGCAGGTCTAACCATTTTGGAGATACGGGGCAAAAGGTGCCAAAAATGATATTTCTGTTTTTGAGGTAACGGAGCGTCCGATTTAAATAGTAATTAAAAAAACATTTTACTTGTAATGACAAAATAGTAAAAAATAATGTATTTGGGGGTCAAAAATGAACATTAGACACATGTACATTATATTATCAGATATTTCATAAAGATTATAATAATAAATACAAATTTTGTGTAAATTTATATGGGCTCCGTACCAATGGTCACACGCTAGATGAATACGCGGCTCTTACGCGCTTTAATATTTCGACCCCAAATCAGCTAGGCTAGCTAAAATACAATCAAAATACAAGAAAAAATCAAAATATAAAAACATCTAATTTTTTAAAGACGTAAACTTTTTTCCAAAATTTCAAATTTTTTTAAATATCTGTTTTTTTTTCAAAGTTTTGCAAAGTTTTTTTTTAATTTAGTTTTTGGTACGGGAAGTTTCAACTATTTGCTTTAAGGCACGATGCCATGCACCACCACTTTATTTTTATTTTGAGGTTACAAAACATGTTTCGAAAATGAAAAATAAAAAAATAGCTCTTCTCGGGAAATTAAATGTAGCAATATTTGCCATGCGACCTATATCTTTAAATATTTTGTTTCAAACTGCCCTAGAGAGGTGAATTCTAATCACACAATTGGATGTTCCTAATTGCATAATATTAATTTTGTTCATTTCGTTGAACTCTAGCGTAAGTACTTGCAATGTCGTCACAAGCCTCTAACATAAGTGAAAGTTCGTTGTACGGCGCTTTATGATGCTGGACTTATAATTCATCATAATCTGCACACTTTCCAAGACAGATTAATGTCAGTGATGTGCAGGAAAAACCATTTATGAATAGATCCGATTTATTGTGATCACGTAATATATTTGCACATGTGTAAATATATGATATATTGATTTTGTATTGTATTATACACAAAGGAGTTTGCGCGAAAATATTCAAGTTATAAAATAATTTCATAATCTGCTTATTATGACAAAAACCGCTTCTTATATAATTTCACTAATTCAAGTATTTGAATTTTTAGTAATTGTAACTTATGGTCCCACTCAGGAGGATTCCCTTATACATTGCTACCTAAAACTGATGAACAAGCTTTTTGGAACAAAGGATGAATGAAGTATATAGAAAATTGTCCTACAAAATTGTACCTACATTCTTGTGAAACAAACAGAAAATTTTAAACGTAAATTTTTACTTCAGATTGTGTAATTTCTTATAATCACATGCTCATCATTTGTGTATTAAACATGATAATTAACTTCCCGAAGGAGAAATGTATGTATCCACGACAAAATCCGATTTGCTAATTTTGTTTTCTCGACGTTCGAATCTCAAAATCGAATCTGACAAGATTTGCAAAAAGAATGTGAGTGTGTGAGCCGATTTTTCACCTTTCGTCGTCGTTTTGTCAGAAACGAAAATTTAAAATCCATTCTATAAAATTCAATACGGACTTTCGTTGATTAGTTTCGATTAAATTCTATAATTCGACTAAAGATTTATAGAAACTACGAATAATATAGAAATTATTTCTCATCAATAATCTTACGTTTAGTACAAATGTTTAATCTACTTCCCGAAGTTTATGTTTTCATAAAAAAATCCGATTCGCTAATTTTATGTTTTCTCGACGTTTCAAGCCATTCTGAATCGAATGAGACCAAATTTGGAAAAAGTATGTGTGTGTGTGTGAACAGATTTTTTGTCGTAAATCGACGTTTTCTCAAAAACGGCTGGAGCGATTTCATAAATTTAAAAACCATTCGAAGTATCTCGATGAGGGCTATTGTTTGTCAGGTTTGTGCGACAATCGGCCAAGCCATTTCTTTGTAATTTGAAAAAAGGTGTTAAACTTTTCGTCCACATTTAAGATCATACTACCGAATCGATTTCGAAAAATCCAAAACTGTTCGAAAGATATTAGTTGGGAATGACACTGATTAGTTTTAGGTGAAAACTAATTAGGTGACTTGTAATTAACTGTTGAAAAAAAAATTCAAACCGATTTTTATGAAACTTTTTTTAGCGATCATGATATATCATGATCTTATAGAACTTACTGAAATATTACGGCTTTACGACAAGTAGTTTAATTTTAAAAATTCATCAAAGTTTGAGAAAATGAGTAGTTCTTTTGGCATTTGTTAAAATTAAAATTAGACAATTTACTTGGTATAACGATAGAGTACTTTGCTTAATGAACATACTAAACAATTAAAGTCCTACAAAAAACTGGCTCAATTATAAAAAATATAGATTTTTGAAAATTTGCTTTTAAAAAATACTCCAACCGGGTTGAGGTGTTCGATTTTCAATAATGTGTAATAAATCCACTTCGAATACTTTTAACTATTCATAAATTAATTTATCTATCATGGATTAAGTCGATTATTTACACAAATCGGGAAGTTCATGTAACTTGCCTCAAAGCAAAATACCGATACCAACTAGTTTGTTTTATTATTTTCAAGGAACAGGGTAAAATATTCTTCTGATTCAGACATTTTTCATTAAATCAAGATTTGTACTACGATGTAACTTTAAAATGTTCATTCATCTATGCCTATTATCTTGTTGATATCGGTACGCATACAACGTTGATATCGGTACGCATACAACGACATCTATTCACATACGCGACGACTAATCACAATCGACCCGTATAGAAATATCATCGAGAGCGAATGACGGATTTACACCCTAGTCGCGCCTAAAAAAGTTTTACTTCAAAAATAGTTTTGTTATGGATTTCCAAACATTGCCGTTTATCACCTGATATCGACGTCGTAAGAATCAAGGTGAAGGCTGGTTATACATCTTTTTTCCTCTTCTTTCAAATATTTATTTATTTATTTATACGCCAATCTTCTTTATACAGTAATATAATATAGTTTGCTAATTCATAACTCGTATATTTATATCTATTATATACACACATCTACTTACATACATATATACTCATATAATATTCAGAAATATTGTTGTTAAAAATTACATAAATTTACTTGTTCTTGAGATATCCATTGAAGACATTTTTACCCACGAAACTTCAACTCCCGCCTTATTATACAATTAATAATTATTAACAATATATGATATTTTCCAGCTGACGGCGACTACATGTCCTTCGGCCTCTCTGGAAGCGACGAGCACAGCGTGATGGTCGGCGGCGACGTCGTCGTGGCCTGGGTGGACAGGAACACTGGAAAAGGATACGCGGTTGATTACGAACTAGACGATAAATCGCAGTGCTCCGGTCTGCGCGGTTCCTGCCCGGATGAAAGAATCTCAAAGGCAAGTCTCAATGCGAACTCATTATTCTCATACTTGATGTTATTTAATCTTATTTTGCTACTTCCGCTCAGTAAGATTTTACTTTGGCTGTTCACAGTTGAAGTATTTTCTTAACGCATTCCTGACATTGTTGCTCTCCTAAATCGGATCGTGAAAATATAACGGAAACAAAATTAATTTTTATATATTATGTAGTAAGATTGAATTTAATTTACTTATTATCGTTAATAGACAATAATGAGTGGTAACTTTCATACGTAATCAACCTTTATTCAAACTGTTTATTAAAGGTTTTGTAAGACCTTTGAAGGTTTTGAAATAATCGAGATAGAAATTTTCAACCTTCTCCCTATTTTTGCATGATATTTTTTTTATACACAGATAAAATTCTAATATTTTTTTTTATTTTGTTTAGCAACAATGAATTTATTTTACATTTATCAACATATTCTTAGTAACGTTACATTGATAAAAAATAATAGTAGTGGTAGCTGTTACGTAATATCAAGTTTCATTCAATTGACTCATACATTTTAAAAATTTCAATGGTCTTTAAGGTTTTAAAATAAACTAAAGGTCCGCAGGTGAAAGGGTTCACCATCATTATTTCAAAAACAACCAAAGCGTAGAATTTTTTAATGATACTATTTTGATGTAGAAGACAAATTTAATTTAATTTGATATTTAATTTTTACGACGTCACTATTCAGAATATCAATATTCATACCAAAAGTTTTTTTAGATATATTGCTAATTTTTATCAGATTTTTAATATAACCTATATCAAAGCTAACATGTGGGTGAGCTAAACAATGAAAATAGTAATTAAAAAAAGTAAATTAAGTCAAAACAAGCAATTTTACAAGAGATTAAATAAACTAGTAATTATTTCAACTTTGCTGATGAATATTTCTTACAAAATACCGGACCATAAATTTTTTATTTTACATTGAATAAATAATTTAGCACTATTATTTCGTAAAATCCCTTAAATTTAAAAATAAAGCATTGTATCTGCTTGCCCGATGGCTGTCTATTTTTACCAAGATTTTGGGGTAAAAAAGGACAGATGACAAATTTTACAAAAAACGATAGAAAACATATTTCTAAAAAAATTGTATTTACTAAATATAGATCGATAATTGTTTATTTGATACGTGTTAGTTGCTTTAATATAGTTCATTTGGTTTAGATAAAATAAAAATTAAAATAAGGTATTGTATTTGTTTGCCCGATGGATGTCTCTTTTTACCAAGCTTCTGAGGTGAATGAGTGAAAAACATATTTCTATAATAATAAATTATATTTACTAAATATAGATCGATAGTTGTTTAATTGATATGATAGTTGTTTAAGCGAATAATACGCTTTGATATAGTTCATTTGGTTTAGATAGTATAATAAAAAAACAAATTTTCACTCCTTTACCATTTTATGTTAAAACATTTTTCAACACAGAAAGAAATCGAAAAAGAGATTAAGGACACAAATCTAGCTTTTAATTATTATGTAGTAACAATAAATTTAGTTTGGGTTTAATAGTAACAATATATTGTTCATAAGTAACGGCGAGTTTATCGTCATACAAAACAGACTTCGCCATTAAATATATGTATTCTTTAGCCTTAAATCATTTAAATAAAACATATAAATTCAAACATTATACACCACTTATCAAAATATAAATATGCATAAGATTCTAGTTTTCAAAAACAGCAAAGATTTAAAAAAAAATTGAGTTACACTCTCCACACCAGACAATTATTTGTTACCATTTGAAAAGGTTAGCATTCGAAAGTAAAAATATTCAATTTATTACCTATAATATTGCTGAAGCCGTACAAAATATTGAAAAAAAAGTGAAAAAAATAATTATAACATTAAAATATACAAGTGCATTGTTGTTACTACACAAAATTCTTGATCTTGCAATCAACAAATCAAATAACAATATAAAACAAAATTTGGCAAAATGAAAAGTACAAAATAACTGTTTCTATCTTTATTGTCTTTTTCATTTGAATTCAAGTCTTTATGCTTCTAGATCACTATTTCATATTAAAATTCACTATCTCTTATTTATCACTTTATAGCTTAATGAACTTGTGTAACAGGTTGACTCTATAACATGGCCATGATATTTTCGATGTTTATATTTTTTATTACTTTATTTATAGAGCTATTAGATCGTTAATGCATAATTTTATGAATGTATCTAGCAAGAAAAATTATTTGAAAAAGTTGTATGTAACGGATATGTTGAAATGATAACAAAAACCTACTACATTGAAAAATTTGCTTGTTTGCGAAGAGAAGATGAAAGTAGTCAAATTCAAATAGAATTTTTTGCTCATATACATGGAGGCTTATGATTTGCACTTGGTGATCGAATCAATATATATATATATATATATATATATATATATATATTCTTGTGATTTTTGAATTTATGAATTAGGAACCTCCTTTTTACTTCAAAGCATTATTAATTTGATATTCAAATGCTTGATATAACATAACAAATAATAAACATGCATAATAATAAAAGGAAAAATCGGTTAAGAAAATAAATTGAAAATTTTGATATTAAAAAGTTCTTCGTAGGGTAAATTAGTATTACCTCAAAATATTTTCAATTTTAGTTTTTTGGTACGATTAGTTGTTTGTTGTGTGTTGATTTCAAAAATCAACAAACTCAAAATTGTTTAGATTTTTTGAAAAAAGGATTTCTTTTAGTTTTAAAATAATTAAATATTTGTTTGTTAAAGTTAAAATAATTAGTATTTTATTATCAGTTTAGGACACCCCATAACTAAAACACGTTGAATAAAATAATTGATAGTTCGGATTTCAACAAGCATAATTAATAATGGCAATCCAAAAAATTTATTCAATTTATATAATAAGTTTGTTCTTGAACTTTTCTATTTTATTTCAAAAACTATATTATTTTTTGACATTATGTGATACACTTTTTGCATAAGAAATTGCTTTATGTAATTGTTGCCACCGTATATTTATTAGATTATAAGAATTTAGTTTTTCATTTTTGAATGTCGGGATACAAAATCGAATTTGACTTTTAGCAATAATACTGTTAAAACCAAACCAACTACATTAAAACAAATAACACATATCAAACGAACAACTATATTACGTTCTAAGCAATAAAGTTGCCCGGTAAATGAACATTGTACATCTATATTTTTTTTATTTTCAAAAAATTGCTTTCTGGTTCTTTTTATCTCATTGGCCGGGTTAAAAGCTAGGGGTCAAAAACATAATCATTCTAAAATCGTAAACTAGACAATTTGGCTTAAGAACAAAAAGACTAAAAAGCAAAAAACTTTTATTGCAAAATTGTCAATGAGGCCGTTCATTTCGTGATATAGAAGTGGCGATGGGTACATATCTTTTGCCCTCTACTTCAATATAGTGTCATTAAGGGGCACAACTAGTGTGAAATTTTCAAAAAATCGTATTTTTAATTTCGATAGGTTATACCTTTAAAAATAACATACCAAAATTTTAAATTGATATCTTAAATAGTTTTTGAGTCACAGCCATTTAAAGAGTATACATATAGTATATAGTATAACGATTATTTTATCTTTAAACGCGTTTTTCTCGAAACAGCATTTTCCGAATTTGCTGCAGTGTTTACTCAAAAACAAATGATCCAATCACTATCGAATTTTTTTACATGTTCTATATATAGTTTTTCGTACAATGACCTATCCATTTTTTGATCTGATCAAAAATCGAATTTTGGCAAGCCAAAAACGATCAAAATTTTGGGTAAAATTCGACTATCTTTTTTAACGCCGCTATATTGTCGATTTTTGATTTTTTATTTTTATCGCAGGTCATTGTACAGTATTATCTAGTTTAACGAGATTTTTTTTATTATGTTTTATCAACGGAGAAGGCTGCAATCACTGCAGCAGTGGAGGACCTTTTTTTGGCGCCGCCGGAGATTGCGTGTCATTTTACTGTGTATTCTCAAGACATGTATAAATATACCCTCAAAATTTTGAATAGATCGATTCACTAGTTTTTATGATTTTTTAATTCACATAAACGGCTTTTTTTAGGTTGTCACACTAGGTGTGCCCCTTAAAAAATTGTTACTTGTTCATGAGATAATGGTGATCGACCTTTTTACCCGCGGACCTTTAAGGCCTGCTCTAACTTATTAGATCATGAATCAATATCATTGTACAAAATTCCGAAGCAGGACAATCTCTTAGAAATATGAACGAACCCAAGTAATAGATTTTTGTTTAAATAAAATATAAAATTCGTTGTTGAAAATATTACATAATACATACACACATGTTATATATATATATATATATATATATATATATATATATATATATATATATATTATATATATATATATATCTACATACAGGTCAATTATCGTGCATAATGTAATCCTCCTACAAAATGTGCTCGTATTGTTCTCGTTACAACGTAGGCCTACATATTATTTACTTTTTATTATTCATTTTTTCATCTATCAAAAGCAATAGAATTTTTCCGTTATTGTCTTTCATTTATCTCTGCGATGGATCAACGGAACATTTTGCAATCGTTTTTTTTTAATATCTTCCGTTTCGTAACCGCGAGAAATAAAAAAGTGGCGCGTGTTGCAACGGTGCCTATTTAGCAAAGGAACATCGTTTTAACAATCTTGCCGTAACTGATATTTAAAATTGCAAACTCCTACTGGCTTATATTTTTTTCTTTCTCTGTATAAAATATTATTTCCCAATGATATCGCTGATGACACAACGCGAATGAATAATAATACAATTAAAATTTTTAACGTTAGTAGCGGTGAAAAGAATGTCTTTTTTGCAATGTGCCACGCGTTGTCGAAATGTCTTTATTGAGGCAGAAGAATAATAAAAGCATGGTGAAACATAATTAAATATCTGCGAACTTATATGGAAGTGATTATCTCATTTTTTGATGTTCTTGATCAGCGAATAAAAAAATAATTGACCCCGCTTATTCTCAGAAAAATTATAAATGTAATTGATTTCACAATTCTTCACAATTCTGTGCATAAATAAAATATAATGTGCATTGTTGTTATTATTGTTACTGTATGCAATAATATGTAGGAAATATGGTTTTATTTGAGAACTACTATATTAGTGGTGGCTCCTATTAACTATTATCAAATTTAATAAGATTTATTTTTTAATATTGATCCATATTATTTATCCATGATATTCTTAACTGAGTCTATTTGTATTTGTCAAATAATATTTTATAAGGCGTTATTAAAATATTTGAAATTTTAGTAGTTCAAGTGCCTATAAAATTTTTATTTCTAAAAGCACAAAGTTTTTGTGTAACTACTTTGAAATACAGAAATTCTAGATTCTTAGGGAGTTACATAGTTTCCAACGTGTGAATTCTGTGTTATGGAGATTTTTTTATCCCTACTGATAGCACAAGTAATTTTAGGTTTAATAAGAGAAATAGTTAATTATTTTTTAGTGTGAACAAATAACAATATTATAGTTTATCAAAATTTTATATAGGGTAGAGGGGGGCTTAAAGGTCCGCGGGTAGAAAGATCCGCCACCTAAAACAAGTAAAGTATTTTTTATCAGCAATATTTGAAATTAGAGGGAAAAAGATGTTTAACCGGCCATCACCTTGATTCTTACGATATCGCGAAATAAACTGTAATGTTTAGAAAACTATAACAAACTATAACTAAATTTTATATAGGGTAGAGAAGGGCTTAAAGGTCCGCGGGTAAGAAGGTCCACCACCTAAAACAAGTAAAGTATTTTTTATCAGCAATATTTAAAAGTAGAGGGAAAATGTGGTTAACCGGCCATTACCTTGAGTCTTACGACATCGTGAGACCAACTGTAATGTTTAAAAATCTATAACAAAATACTTTTGTTTATTGTTAGTTTTCTTGGTCGTGAGCACTATTGTTTAATTTACGAGACCTTAATATAATTTTTAATTATACATTATTTAATTGTTTTATAAGATATATTGGTACTTTTAAGTTAGATTCAACAATTTTTTTTCATAGAACCCTTATGAAAGCTCACGTGTAAGTGGGGTAAAAAAAAAAACCTGAGCCCTTACGTGGGCAAAGGTGTAAACAATAAAAATAGTAATTCAAAAAATAATTTAAGTTAAAGAAAGCAATTTTACAAAAGATAAGTCATATAAATAGTTATTCCAACTCTGCTGATGAATATTTCTGATGAAATACCAGATCAAAGTCATATACCAGATCGATATCATCTCTGTAATTATGTTTATATTTTGCATTGGTTGTATAATGCAGATATTATTTCGTAAAATATCTTTAAACTTAAAAATAAAATTGGGCTCGTTTTACCCCATCTATGGGGTAAAAAGAGACAAGTGATAAATATGAAAAAATAGTAAAAAAAATATTTCTATAATTATGTATTAACTTATTTAAAATAGTACGATAGTTGTTTGTTTGATACGTATTTTGTGTTGTGATATAGTTCATTTTAGGCAGGAAAGTTACTTAAAGTCAAATTGAACCTTTGTGCACTGCTCTACCTTATTCAGAAGTTTTATTGAATTTTAATTTAGTTTTATTCAATTTATTTGTTTTGTGCATTTATACATGAGTTATCGAGCGGCTCGAGCATATTTTTTGTAATCAAGCAAGATTTCCTTGCTTTATTTTGCTACTATTCGAAATTAGAGAAATTTAATTCAATTCATGTTACTGAAATACAAAATAACATTTACTAAGTGCAGAACAAAACTGTCGTGTAACAGATCTTAGCTTATATTTTCTTGTCGACAAGACGCAGCATAGGCGCGTCTAGGTTGGTTTTGTGTCAGTGAACTACAAACATTCCAGTATATCATAATGCCGTAATAAACAATATTGATTAAAATACAATTATAATATTAATTAACTAAGCAATTAATCGATAATGATCGACATGATCGCACATAGGACAACACGAACTCGATCCGTCTTTTGAACGCGGCCATGGTTAACGACTACTCCATCGTGACTTATCAGCGTCCCCTGCGGCCTTCGGACGAACTCGATCGAGCTGTCTCAATCAACAGTTCACAGGTAATTCTTATTTTAATTTATTTATGTTTATTGTATTTGCTATTATGACAACGTTGATTGATGCCTTTGCGTTTTCCTGCATGCCAAACAGAAAAGTATCGATATATAATATACGTGGATGAGTTGACATGAAGTACTAATTCCGCATTCACTGACAAAACATTGTTCACCAAGTAATGAGTACTTACCACATAATCTTTATATATAGTTCAGAGTTTTTAACTTAAAATATTATTCAACTTAATTGTTTATAAAATCATTATACAGTCACTTATCTATGTCTCTCGAAGAGTACTTATATTTCTTACTTTTTATGTCACTATACATATTTGATGTGAAAATCTAAAATATTTTTAAATGTGGACTCCACTTCTCGGTTGCAACTCATAAAAAATAAGTTTGACAATAAAGGCAACTATGTAGATTTGCCATATTTCTTGACTGCATTTTCACAAATAAGGTCGTAACTTTTTTTATTCCAATATTAAGCCGAACGATTCAACACTAGAAATGCTATAAAAATGATAATACTTATTTTTCTTTCTTAGCGTTTAATAAATGTTCAATTTGTAATATTATATTTTATTCGAAATTTCAGAAAATGTATATATCTTACCAATTTGCACCTAATATCTTGATATTATTTTAAAGTTATAACTAATATTGATTATTTTTTTAGTCATGATGTTCAATAAGAAGTTTTTAACATCATCTTTACCAGATGGATTAAAATCTATAATTTTTATTTCTGATATTTCACCATGTTCTCAGAACGTATGAATGGGTCTTCATAATAAAATACCTTGACACTCATATTGTCGAATTATGTTGATTAGTTATAGCATTTTTATGTCATTGCGTATTATGCGTTCATTGCAGCACCCTACTAAATTATTCTGTAATAGTTTAACAATTATTAATTCGCAAATTCACTTTTGTAATTATATACATCCGCTATAATATGCAATACCGAAATTAAGAAATATTTTACATTTGACTTTGTACTTACTTGTATTTATAATTTCCTTTTTGTTTTTGTTTATTATCTAGCCAATTATTTGGGCTATTGGTCCACTTAACCAGAGAAACGAAGTATCTTTCCACACTCATTATCTCAAGGGAGATAGATTCTTTGATTTTGGGCGTCAACCAGTTTGGAATTGCCCGATGCCAGAAGCTGATGAACGTATGATAGCAAATATGCGCAATGAAGAAAAAGAGCAGCATCAGGCCGAGCGAAATGAGGCACCACCTACAAGAACTAGAGGCAGAAAACCAAGTGTGGCAAGTGACCGACAAGATTCTCAACCTGTTCCTAGTTCGAATGAAAATAAAAGACGACGTGGTCCGACTCGACAACAAGCCAGTGAACAAAGAACTCAGGCAATAGACATCGAGCGAAGCACATCTGCGGTTAATACTCCACCGCCTGCTCCAGTCATTGCACAAAGACGACCTGTCCCAACACCAGCACCTGCTCCAAAATCAGGTGCTTGGGATATACCACCGATACAATGCTACGAACCCGACGATGGAGTTTTTTATGCTCAAATGGGTCCAACTGGTGGTAAACAAGGATATCCTGCAATAACAGGTTTATATAATATAATATTCTGCGGTTAATTTAATAAATTCAGTCAAGTATCTAATTATTTATTTTATCGTTTCAGGACATGTTGGATGGGGCATCTCATGGTACATTAATGGCTTACTTATTCCAGAAATTAATGTTGTTCGAGGAAAAACTTACACATTTGTTGTAGAAGGTGGCTTGGATCCTGAAATACCAGCAAAGTATCATCCGTTCTATATTACTGATGATTCAGTAGGAGGCTATGAGCATAAAACACCGGAAGAAAAATCCGTATGTTTTGTAAACTTAATATTCAGTATTTGATGAAAAATATTTTAATTTATCTTGAAATATTTCAGGCTATAAATATTTATGCTGGTGTAAAATACACCAAGAGTGGAGATGTTATACCTACTGGTGTTGGTCGTCTTTGTAATTGGACTCCTAATCCTGATGGCCCTCCTGCAGATGAATACAGTTCTTTCGGAGCTTATCAACGATCGTTATCATTGAACTGCGACAACGGTGAACCGGGTGTCATTACTTGGACGCCTGATGCACGGACACCAGATACTGTATATTATCAATGCTTTACCCATCGGTACTTAGGTTGGAAGATTAACGTATTGGATAGCTGCGATGAATTACCAGCAGAAAGTGCGAAAGTTGAAGTATTTTCCAAACCCGATGAAGATTTATTAGAGTCGGTGCCATCGCAACACGTAGAAACACGAATTAAACCGGCATTTAATTTTGTGAGCGAAGGTAACAAAACACCTGTTTCATTTAAGGGTGCTGTTAATCCACCTGTCAAAGAAGTTGTTGAAATTATTGAACACGATGTGCATAAACAACCTATAAATTATTTTATGACAAAGCCATTGTATGATAAAAATTTGGAGTTAAAAAAGACCATAGAAGAAGGTATTAAAGCAGCAGAAGAACTTGAACAAACTATTAAATTTGGCGAAAATACTGGACCCGTTTTATTTGGTGCTCCATCACCAACTTCATCTAAAACAGAACCAATAATTGAATACCATCCTATTGATATAAATACGGAATTGAAAAATTTTCAAAAACAAAACATTCCACAAAGTGTATTTTTACGTCAACCGCAACATAAACCTAACCATTCCCAAAAATATTCAATTCCCCAAAGGCGGCCAGCAAATCATCATATACCCCGAAGGCCAGTTACGTATACTCAAGTCATGAGCAAACGTCCTCAGTCAAGACCTCAGTTTATTATGGGACAGCATTCAATAATTCACAATCAATTCAAAAAACCCGGGTTTAAACAACCTTTCAGGCAAACAACAAAACCTTACTATGCACCAAACTTTAATCAATACAGACATATTTATCCACCAGTAAATATAAGACCATTGAAATCAAATTATGCTGATATGATTGATACATCAGCGGCACATGAAGTTTTACCTGGAAAATCAGGTCCAATAGTACTTGGAAAGCCAATACCAGTATCAACTCAGCCTATTAGCACCGACCAAAAGCTTTTACACCCATATCCAATGATACACTATCCTGCTATTGCCCCAAGACCACAAATCGTAATCGATAATGCAAAGATCAATCAAAGACTCGATTCCAAAGCTTATGATAAACAAACTACGATAAATACTCACGTATTAATAAATAAGCCTGCTATGACTTCACCCAAACCTGTGTATCATCACACGCAGCATATGATTGATTTCGATGATACTGCTCCAAAAATAGTTCTGCCAACCGTTAGGCCAGCTGTAAATACTGGATTTAAACCAGATTCTGTAATCATAGAAGGTGGTTTTAAACCAATAGTTCGTGAGCAAGATGCAGCCCAAAGTACTGAAGGCGTTTCTGATTTAACTATTAATCGCAGATCTGACACGGTAAACGAAAAAGAAGATTTAGAAGCAGAAGAAGAAAATGTCGGTGAAATTTTTGTCGGAAAAAGAACTGAACCTTTTGAACCAATGTTTATACCATCACCACCGGACAGACAATCGAAAAATAAGAATAAAATTAAGACGAAAATCAATATGCGCGCAGATGCAATTATATCTGGTGATAAGGTAGTGGAGATGGGCGAAGATAAATTGGCTATGGCTCAAGAAAACTTTAACTCTTATTATCTGCCATATAACCATGCTAAATTAGTCGGTCTTCAAGGTGATATAGAATTACCGGTAGGAACTGTGATTACGTATGACGGAAAATCAGCTTCAGATTCAGACAGAAAATCTAATCATAGATATATTCCTTCTGTGGATGTTTCTGATTCGGAACAAGTTATACATGGAAAACCACAATATGCTGCATTGAAGGATGATATAAAGGCAACTCCTGAGAATCAAGATTCCCAGAAAATTACAGACCAGGATGACGAGAACAAACCAAGTCAAATAGCCACACATCTTAAACTGGTGAGCCAATTTGAAGAATCAGATGATACACCAAATGATGAAGCTTCGGTGAAGGTGGAACCAGCGTCAGAAAAAAACATAAATCGGCAAAAGAGAGAAGCACATCATACGCCAGAACATACCGAGATGCAAAGAAAAGAGGGAATGCTTAATGGCACATCTATGCATGATCATTCCGGTCATGATCACTCTGGTCATGATCATTCTGATCATGATCATCACCATCATACATCGAATTCCTGTACTATTCTTCCTACGTTATCAGTTATAATACTCGTAACTGCCATGTCAAGATATTTGTAATCTTTTTTTCCAAATTCAAGATTTTTTATATTAATTAGGTAATGTGTAAATATAAGAAAAACTATAAAAAACTTATTTTTAATATATGATCAATCGGCGGATGCTAAAATTTAAGATAAAATTATTATTATTAAGTGCCTCTGATAGAGTATTTGTAAATAAGGGTATACATTGTAGACTAAATTTTATAAAAAAAATATGAAAAAAAAACTTAGTTAAGATTTGAAAAATTAAATTTTGTAAATACGATAAAAATATGACTTTCTTAATTAAGTGAGTAAAATAATAAAATTATTCATAAAAATAAAAAAAACTTCTTTTTTGTTTTTAAAGACATGAAATCTTTTATGCCAAAACTAAATTTTATATTTCAAATTTTCTATATGGAACAGGTAATCTCTTTTACAACAAAGTAGTTCACCTGAATTTCAGTTTTCTTTAGCACATTTTATGCAGGCGGCCGCTATCATTTTTATGGTTTACGAAGCACAATGTTGTGAAGTTTTAGCACTTTGATAGTCCGCGAGCTTAATGCGAGTTGCACGTAACACGTCCTTTCTTCCTGAAAGTTTTGCATGGTCGACGAAGGTTAATCCATGGCAGTCTTTGTGCCGAGTTAGAGATGACGGAGAGGTGTAATTCAGAAGTGATTTAATACAGGCCAAATCATTTTCAACTATCACTATAATGATTGGTAAGTACAAATCAAGCATTAGTAAAAATATTGAATTAGTAAAAATACCTATAAAAATGTTAATAAAAGTGAGAATTGAGAAAACAAAATTTTTAATTACGATCTTAATATTCTACACCGAGAAAATTGCTCTTCTAAGAGAGTTCTTGCAGAAAGTTGTCTTACGTTTACAAACTCTTTTAGTAACATCAGATTGAATTATAACTTTTCAAATGATCCATATTCAAATTTTATTCCAAATAAATAAAGCAATTACTATTTTCTTTTCGTTTCACGTATGTTTATTTTCGATATTTCTAATACTTCTTGTTTTTGATTACTATATTGACGACTAATGTAAGGTGAATGTTTGAAGTATTCACACCTAAAGTGAATTAAAATTAGTGGGGCGCATGGCATCGTGCCTTAAGGCAAATTGCTGGAACTTCCCGTACCAAAAATTATTTTTAAAAAAAAAAGACTTTTTGAAGAGAAATTTAATTTGAAATATTTTGGAAATTTGGAACTTTTTTTCAAAGCAATCGTACAGCTTTAACTGCATAGAGACAAAATATCGCAGCGCGTAAGCGCCGCGTAGCCGTCTAACGGATGAACATTGGTACGGAACCCATAGGAATGTAAACAAAGTTTATACTTATTGTTCAAACCTCTATAAAATACCTGACAATTTGATGTGCATATGTGTGTGCATGTGTGTGCGTGTGTATGTGTGTTCGGATGCAAATTTTCGTCGACGATTTCAGGAACACGGATGAAGCGATTTGAATAATTCAAAAAACTTTCGATTCGTATTAATAAGGAGACATGCTGATTAGTTTTTGGCGAAGGCAGGTCTAGCCGTTCCGAAGATATGGGGCAAAAAGTGCCAAAAACGGTAACACGGTTTTTGAGAGAACGGAGCGTCCGATTTGAAAAATTCAAAAAACATTTTACTTGTATTGATAAGATGAAGAATTGATCAAATTTTCATGAAGGCAGGTCTAGCGGTTTCGGAGATCTAATGAAAAAAGTAAAACAAAAAGCCATTTGGCGGTCAAAAATGATCATTAGACATATGCACATCAAATTATCAGATATTTTATAGAGATTTTAACAATAAGTATGAATTTTGTTTACATTCCCGTGGGTTCCGTACCAAGGTATATCCGTTAGATGACGACGCGGCGCTTACGCGCTTTGACATTTCGTCTCTATGCAGTTAAAGCAGTACGATTGCTTTGAAAAAAAGTTCAGAATTTACAAACTACGCCAAAATAAAGAAAACTTTTTTTTTCAAACAATTTTTGTTTGTTTCTCAAATATCTACTTTTTTCGAAGTAAAATTTTTTCCAAAATGTTAATTGCTCTAAAAAAATAATAATTATTGGTAAGGGAAGTTCCAGTAATTTGCCTTAAGACACGATGCCTTAATTGCCTTAAGACAGAACTTCACTTACAGCTAGTTTGTTTATAAAATTAAATTTATTTACTTATGCTCACTAGTAGCTCATTGCCTTCTACCATTACACCACTATAATAATACTAATATAATTTTATATCAATACCAGATCTCATAATTGGTGTCCATCCCTGATTGTCCGCCACTTCCGTAGTAGAGGAGTTCATTGCAGCAAATTCAACGGCCTCCGGTTCTCCGCCGTCGACTGCATAGTGCAGCGCCGTCATTCCATTTACGTCAGTCGCTTCCCAGGAGGAGCCGCGTTCAATGAGCGACGAGGCGATGTCCAAATGTCCGTGGAAAAGCGCGCTCATCAGGCTCGTCCTACCGGTAATGGGACACGGCAGCGATGCATTTGCTCCAGCAGTTAGCAGTAAACTTACCTAAACAGGTAATTGATTATCTAATTGAAACTTCTGTATTTGTTAACTTCCCGTAGGGCAAGTTGTAGTAATCGCAAAAAAATCGAAAATGAAAATTTTTATATATCTTGACGTTTCAAAGGTTTCTGAATATTTTGGCATACCTTAGAAAAATTGATGTATGTGTGAGTGTATGTGTGTGTGTGCGGATACAAATTTTTGTCGACGATTTCGGGAACACCGATCAACCGATTTGAATAATTCAAAAAACATTCGATTCGTATTGATAAGGAGACGTGCTGATTAGCTTTTGGCAAAGGTAAGTCAATAAAAAATTTTATTTCAAAAAAAGTAATTTTTTGTCAAATTTATAGTTTCTCAAAAATCTATTTTTTTTTTAAATAAATTTTTTTCAAAAATGTTAATCGTTTTTAAAAAAATAATAATTTTTGGTACGGGAAGTTCCAGCAATTTGCCTTAAGACACGATGCCATGCGCCCCATTAGTTTTTGTTAAAATTAGTAATATTGAAATCTAAGACTCTGCTGCGATCTGATTGCTTAGGCTTCATGCTTA